TGTTTTTAAATTGTACTTATAATAGTTGTTTGTCTAATGGATGAATAAGTCGTGTGAAAAAATTCAATTTTTGTTATTTGTTGTTTACTTCAGATAAATATTTTATCATATTTTTTTTTTTTTTGATAGAAAATTAGAGTTTTTCTAAGTAAAGATTGGTTTTGAATTTTAGATCATGAAAATTTTTAGAAATCATATTATTATTATATTTAATTATTGAGTTAAAATTTTTAAGTGTAAAATGAATAACTAAAATTTGTATTTCATACAGACTATTTAAAAAATTGTAAAAAGTAGTTTTTACTACTATAAAATTAATAAATAAATTTATGTTACATTATTATAAATTGCATAATTGATATTTAAATTTTAAATTAAAAATTTTTTTATTTACAATTTTTAAAAAGGTAAATTTAATTTTATAAAATAGAGAACAAAATTATTAATATTTAATTGCGCCTTAATTTTTCAACCAATAAGGAATCGGGGATTTTATTTTTGCGATAATTAGTTAATTATTTCACACTTATTTTTTTTTCATATATTTTAATTTAAAATTTAAAAAATTGAAATTTTGTTATTTAAAATTTTTACAAAGTACCACTCATTATAATACTAGAGATGCTCAAATTAAAATAAAAAAAACACAAAAACAGTTAGAGCAGAAAAAACTATAACATACAGAGGTTTAGTTTGGTATAATAAAATTCCCGCGGAAATAGGAGAAGAAAATAGAATTAAAATTTTTAAATTGTTATTAAAAATATATATAAAAAAAAATATAAAATAGTTTGTGAAATTAAATGATAAATTGTAAATAGATAGTATGTGAAGTCCAAATGACGAAACTAAAATATATTTTTAATGAACTGTATAAAACTAATTGTAAAACAAAAATAGCTACTTAGCTACATAAATATATTATTAAAGTCCAGAAAATTTCGAATTCATTTTTTTCAAATAAAGAAAATCATTTTTATTAATGGAAACTGTAAAAATCAAAACTTTGAACAAAAATTTTTCTAAAATTAGATATTTAAATTATAAAAAATGATTTAAATTTCATGATATAATTTACAGTACGCAAAAATTGTATGAATTATGTCTCACTGTTTTCATGGTATTTGCATTAATACGGCAGTATCAATTTAAAAATGAGCATTTTATGGACTCGTCCATAAAATGATTGCTTGATAATTTTCCTCTGGATGATCGTGATCAACGGCACTAATAATCAGTGGAATCGGGGCATAAATATTTCGTGGATTCGCGCGGAGGACGCCTTGAACCGGTGCAAGTGTTCTTGTATCATGCGATGGATTAATATATTCTTGAATCATCCAAAGGATGACTGATGCAGCTGACGTGATATAAATAAATATAAATATAAATAAACACATTGAATTATTATTTATTATTATCATTACTACCAATAATAAAATAAAATAAAATAATAACTCATCTAAAATCGCAAAAATAAAAATATATTTGTTGTTTAAAATTTCGAAACTGATAAAACCGAATTGATAATTTATGTTCATTATTTTAATGACGAGGTAAATTTATTTATACCAAGGTGACTGAGTTTTAAAATAATAAGCGTGTGTGTATAATATATAATATATCAAGAATTGTGGATGTCGATGAGTGATTTTTAAATGCGTTCGAGGCTATTATATATCTACTGTATAGTATAAGGAGTAATATTTGTTGCGTGCGAATGATTACAGAGAGTTGAGAATCGTACCGACGAGTACAATTACTCATAAGGTATTCTTCACATATATCTCAGCTACTGTTTTACGAGTTGGTATAAATGTATACAAGTATGCTCATATCATACGGTTGTCGGCGATGAAAGCTTGCCACGCTGCTACTGGTTTATTATAATACCGAATAATTAAATTAATCGTGCCGAAACATGTCGAGTACTAATGAAATTTAATTTCATTTCTTTATTAATATTTAATCCATACTATTTATTATTTTTGCATATTATTATTCAAAGTTATTTTATTAATTTATGCATCATTATTTTATTTACTTGAGAAGAGTCCATCGGCAAATATTAATTAGTCGAAAATGGGATTATTAAATGTATATTATTATATTTAATTAAAATAATAATATTTTATTTTGTTTTAAAATTTAATTTAAATATTTTTCTACTAACAATCTTGCAGTCACTACGTGACTGCCGTGACTCATAAACTATAAATATACAAAATTTTGCTTTATTACATAATGATTTTTGTTAAATTGCACTGTACTTTTTTTACTTATTGACATTTTTAAAGATATAAACTCATCCCGATGTTTCACTCATCAAGAGGTTTCATTTGAGTACCCACATTCATTTTGATATATTTTTCATATATTCATATATATAAATATATAAAATATATGAAAAATTGATGTGAGTACTCAAATGAAAGGTCTCGATGAGTGTAACATCGGGATGAGCTGTTATTATATCTTTAAAAATGTCAATAGTTCACAAGATACAAAGCCATTTCTTAATTTTGTTAAATTGCACTGTACTTTTTTAACTATTGACATTTTTAAAGATATAAGCTCATCCCGATGTTCCTCTAATCAAAAGCTTTCATTTGAGTACTCACATGCATTTTGATATATTTTTCATATATTCATATATATATATATATATATATATACAAATATATAAAATATATGAAAAATTGATGTGGGTACTTAAATGAAAGGTCTTGATGAGTGTAACATCGGGATGAGATTATATCTTTAAAAATGTCAATATTTTACAAGATAAAAGGTCATTTCTTAATTACGTATTTACAGATAGAGCATTTTCGAATGCAGCCTAAATACTTATCATATAATAAATTGACTACGCGTGAGAATGAAATGAAACCTTGAAAAGACAACTCCAGGTCAAGACTCTTCCAACGATACTAAATTTAACCATAAAAAACCATTTTATAGTATAAATACACTGGCCACAAAATTTTGCTTATTTTCTTAATAATAAAGATTATTAAATTTTTTCGTAAGAAAGTTTAATTTTTAAAATTCTATTAAGAAAATATTTAATTTTTTTAAAGCCCAATTAATATTTATTACAAAGTTATAAAATAAATAATTTACCCGGTATTTTAATTAACAATTATGAAAAAGAGAAAGTACAAACATAATTATAAATTGAATATCCAATAAACGCGTGTGATAAATTTTTATTGATTTAAATTACTCCGGAGGTGTTTTGAATTGAATAGAATATAAGTATTGATAATTTGAAATAACTTAGTCACTTTAATGGTAAATAGAAAGTTTAATAGTAGATGTGATTGATAATAGATAACATTATAGTTATAGACTTTATTTATATTTTATTTTGTTATGATGAACTGGATGTTTCATCGAGACAATTAAAAAAAGGTCGGTTACAGTGCACTTTGTAGGTGTGAAAAACAAATTTTCGAAGGTGTAAAATAAAAAGGCAAATTACTTAAGATTAACAAGACGAGAGTGTGTAGGATCAGAGAAAGCCCGAAGGCCCGACTTCTACACTTATACATACAGATACTTGTACTTATACATATACCAAGTTGCATCTTATGTGTTTTATATGTTATGTTATATTATAACAGACTGAAGACTGACGGTCACTAATCGTGAGCAGGCGGAAAACAAGCGCGATGAGTTGCCGGTTTTGCGGGTGTGTATATATATCTATATGTGTGTATAATATGTATTAAGTCCTGAATGATCTACCTGTTGGTTATTTTAAGAAATATAATATAAATAAATACAAAACGATACAACTCGTTGGGTTGTTGGCAGCGGGGGGCCGCTCGGATAAATGCATTTTAATGTTCGGCTTTTTTTATTTCTTCCACAATATCACTGCGATTGTTTAGACAAAAAAAGTTAAGATAATAAAGTTAATGATAAGTTGTATTGTATGATAAACCAATGTTATCTTTTCTTCTTATATTCTATAATTTTTTTTTACTTTTTAATCATGATCAGTAGATTTATAAATTATAATAAACGAAAAGTTATGTAAGAATTAATAATTGAATAATGATTCATTGAGTATTCTGAGGCTTTTATGTAAACAATTTTATTTTCATTAATTTATGTTATTAAAGTTGCGTTGTAGATTAGATTTTTATATGCGCATAAATTTTAATAAACTTTATATTTATATTTTTATCGGATAATAGAAATTTAATACTGAGTAATTTTTTCCTTGATTTTCTTTAAAATATAAAATTTATAATTGAAAGTTTTTCGTATATAAAGTTATCGAAAAAATACACCATGATTTTTTATTGGTTACAAAATAAGAGCGCAAAATTAAATTTTCTAATGTAAAAAAAATAATAGTTGTTAAAATTATTTATAGAATTTTTTTTAATAAATAAATTTATTATAAAAAATAAATTGAAAAATTCCACTTGTACACAGAAAAAAAAATTTACATAAATCAAGTAAATAATTTTGAAGAAATTCATCTTCTTTATTTAATTAAGAAATATTTCTTGGTGTGAGTAAATTTAACTTGATTCAAGAATTTTTGGTCTTAATTCAAGACGATAAAATTCTTCAAAATTATAATTTATAAATGACACTGTTGACAGATATTAAAAATTATTTTCTTAGAATTTTTCTCTCCATTCAAGTTAATTTTTTTTTTAATATAGATGTGTCAAAAATTTACTGTTTTAATTTTTTAAAAATATTTGAAAAGAGCGGGAAAAGATGTTAGCGCCAAGATGAATTAGAAATTTAACTAACTGACTTATCATATGTGCCTATCTTTACTCTGTAGAGAACTTCATGAGCTAGAAAAGCTAGAAGCCTTGCTGTGTTTATGTTCTACTCAAATTAAATAATTACACTTTATTCTAATTAATTTTATGAAAATACTGGCAGAATTTTTATCAATACAACTATTTGGATAATTAATCATCAGTATAATTATTGGTACAGTAATTTTACAAATAACTCATTAAAAGATGGAAGGAGGTTATACATTCACCAAAAAAAACACACTTGTATACGAGTGGAAAATTCATAATATAACTTCATTAATGGAATATAAAGAAGATCAAACTCCTGTGACTTTAACATCAACAAATTTTTCTATAAGAGCTAAAATTGAGAACCAGTGGAACATCGACTTGTATTTAAATAATGGAAACCCAATTGGTGAAGGTAAAGACAAAGATGCCTTGTCAGTATATGTTTGGAATTTGGAGGAAAATAGCGTAAAAGCTTTTGTAACAATTTACATTCTAAATAATAAGCAAGAAAAGTCTAACATTTGGCAATTTGGTGAGCACTTGTTTGAAGACGGAAAATCTTGGGGTTACAATGACTTCGTGAAGAAAGAAAGACTATTGGATAAAAAGTATGAACTAATTCCTAATGATATTCTAACAGTTTGTACTGAAATCACAGTTGTTGATGAAAATATTCAGATTCCTGTAAAAGGTTCCTATCACTACTCTAATTATCAACTGGTAGAAGATTTTAAAGAACTCTACAAGACTAGAGCTTTCAGCGACATGGTTATCAATGTTGGAGAAGAAAAGCTCCAGGCTCACAGAATAATTCTCATGACTCGGAGTCCAGTCTTGGCTTCAATGTTTAATCAGGAGATGTCCGAGAAGAAAGTTAATGAAGTTGTGATAACTGATATTTCTTCAGATACGTTTGAAAAATTATTGGAGTATATTTATACGGACGAAGTATCGGATCTGGAGGAAGACGCTGCGGAATTGTTGGAAGCGGCTGACAAATATCAGCTGGCTTCGCTAAAGAAGAGATGTGAAGAGTCGCTCTGCGAGTCCTTGAATCCTGAAAACGCCCTTAAGATGCTGGATTTAGCAGATCGCTTTAGTGCTCCATACCTGATGGAGTATGTCATCAAATGTATCACTGCTGATGCAGCGAAAATTGTAGAGAGCGAAGAATTCAAGGAGTATGAAAAGTCTAATCCGTCTTTGGGGCTGAGATTGTTTAAGGAACTTGCAGTTGCTAGGACTTGTTGTGAAGCTGGAATAAGATATTCGACACTTTGAAGGTACTTTTTGATTCTTTATTTATTTTAATGATTATTTTTGTTTTTAAAATAGCTAATCTTTGAAATTATTTTTCAGCTCAAGGAGAAAGAGGAAGTTAATCATTTTTCCACTTGATTATTTATTATAAAATTTAACCAAGGAAATATTTGTTTAAGTCTGTTTTATAATGTACTGTTTAAATGTTAATATTATTATTTAAATAATATTATACTTATTTTTAATTTATGAGGACAAGTTTTTTATATTTAATAAAAATTATTAAGTATCAATCGTAATATAATGAATAAAAAATTATTAAAATGTTCATTTATTTATTGTAGACAAAATTTTTCATTTATTTGAAATAATTATTTAAAGTTATTTGACAAAACTTTCAATTTTTTATTATTTGATATAACTTTCAATTTTATTATAATAAAAAAAAATCAAAAAACCAACTCCAACAAATTAATAAATATAATTTGTGAACTATAAATTTTGAGATTGGTTTTTTTTTAAAACATTTTATTTTTTGTATTGTAATGAAATTTCAAATGTAAAACAACTAAGCCAGTATCTATTATTGGGTCTTTAACTTTAGAATCAATTTAGTTTATAAATAATATTTTATAATTCTATAAATTTGAATTGCGCGCTACGTGCGTGTCTGAATTTTATCCAATGATGAATCATGTCTCCTTTTTTTGCAAGTTTTAACTAATGACTAACTTCATAACGTTCTATATTTCCATTTAGACGATTAGATGTTCACTATATACTCGACATAATAATTCTAAAATTCAGAACGTGCAATTCACCGTGTTCATAATAATAAATTTAATCAGTTTTGATCAATATATCCAAGTATAAGTGATAAAAATAACACATTTCGTTGAACACAACGTTATTTTATGTATCTTAGTTAAATAATTATCGGTATAATACTCTTTCATAATAAATACAAAACGGGAAAATGGAAGGTTATACCTTTACTGAAAAAAGCTCTATCGTTTACGAGTGGAAGATTAAAAATATCAGCTCCCGATTGGAGAAATGCCCTTTTGAGCTCTTAAAATCGTCGGAATTTTCGATACAATCCAAAATCGCAAATAAGTTTTGTCTAAAACTATACTGTTATAATAATACTACGGAAAATGAATATACAGATTTTGTTGGAGTATTCATCAAAAATTTAACAAATAATTTGGTCAACGTTACTTTTTCCGTTTGTCTCTTAAACAATGAACGTGAAAAAACAATGGCAACAAGAAAAGTTGATTTATCTCTAAATAGTCAAGCCACGATAGGTGACAACAAATTTGTAGACAAAAAAGTCTTATTGGCAGATAAATTTGAATTAATTCCTGATGACACATTAACGTTACTGGCTGAGGTGACTATTTTAAATGAAGAAATAACCACAGTTCCAGTCGAAAAATCAGTTGTATCACCGATTCTACAATTATCAAGAGATTGGCGAGTTCTTTATGATAGTAAAGAAGGCAGCGACGTCACTTTAACTATTGGAGATGTCGAAATTCACGCTCACGAATTAATCCTAAAAATACGCAGTCCAGTGCTACACGCAATGTTTACTCATAATTTCGAAGAAAAAAAAACTGGGGAAGCGTCCATCAAAGACATAACAGCTGGTACATTTAATAAACTCTTAGAGTATATTTACACAGGCGAAGTTTCAGATTTGAATAGTTTTGCTGAAGATTTACTAAAAGCTGCTGATAAATATGAGATATTATTATTAAAAGAGATGTGTGAGATATCTTTATGTAAAACCTTGAACCATGATAACGCCGTGAGAAGGATGGACCTAGCTGACATGCACGATGCTCCGTACTTAATAGACTATATTATTAAATGCATCATGCGTGATCCATTAAAAATTGTCGAGAGTGAGGGCTTTAAAAACTATGAAAAATCAAATCCGTTGTTTGCATTAAAATATTTAAAAAAAACCGCGGTTGCTGATATTGACAGAAGGACTCGAATTGAATATTCAACAATTTAAAGGTATCATTTTTTTTAATTAATCACAATACTTTTTTCTTATTTTTTTTTTTTTTTCAATTAATTAATACATCTATTTTTTTTTCCAGAAAAAAAAAAGGAAAAATGCAGACAATTAATCGGGATATTTATTCAAAAATATTCATTATAATCTTTAACAAAATAACTAAGTATGTTTTGTATCTTCTTCCCTTAAATATTAATATTATATTACTTGAAAAAAATTTCCTTGTAATTAAGTTATGGCTGCATTTTGTAAATGATTATTTTTAGTAAATAAAATAATCAGAATCACAGAATGAAAGTTTTCTTTTTTTTTTTTTTTTTTTCATTTCAATCGAAATAGGTACTGAAGTTAGCAGAAATTAAATAATTGCTTGAAATCATTTAACAATTTACTCATTTTTTTATATTTTTTAACTTATAAAAAGTTAATTACATTTTAATTTATTCTTAGGTAAAATTTTAATAAATTTTCCTTGTAGAAAAATTCAAAAAAATTATAAGATGTCTTTTAACTTCAGTATTGTTTAAAATTAAGACTTATCACTTAGAATCTCTCTATTCAATGTTGGAGCAAATTTGTATATGCTTTGATTTGAACAAAAATTGAAAATATTTATTTCGTACTTTTTCTAGAAATTCATCAGAAACATTTTATGATTTTTTTATTTGTATATTAATTATAAATTTTAATGATTTCTATATGATCAAATTAAGATTATTTATTATTTAAAGATTCCAGCAGATATTTGATGAATTTTCTTTTAATTCATTTAATAAAAAAAAAAATAAAATTTCCTTTGAGTTAAAAATACCAGAAAAAAGTTCTCTTTTAAATCAATTTTTACTACAAAATCTTAATTTGAAAATAAAAATTTAATATTTAAAAGTACTTACATAAATTTGATTAGAAACGATACTGGACTTGGCAAAAATTTCAAAATTTTTTTCTCATTTTTATCACATATCAATTGCTAAAACATCTATTAAAATAAAATTTCAACTTGTACATATTCTTTTAATTTTACAGCAAATTTTTCTATAAGAGCTAAAGTTGATAAGCCGTGGAATATCGACTTATATTTAAATAATTGAAACCAAATTGATAAAGGTAAAGACAAAGTTGCGTTGACAGTAAATATATGAAATTTGGAAGAAAGTAGTGTAAAAGCTTTTGTAACAATATATATTCTGAACAATAAACAAAAAAAAATTTAACATCTGGTAATTCGATCAGCACTTGTATGAAGACGGTAAATTTTGGTGTTACAATGACTTCGTGAAGAAAGAAAGACTATTGGATAAAAAATATAAATTGATATCAAATGATATTTTAACAGTTTGTACTGAAATCACTGTTGTTGATAAAAATAGTTAGATTCCTGCCAAAGGTTCCTATCACTACTCTAATTATCAATTGGTAGAAGATTTTAAAGAACTCTACAAGACTAGAGCCTTCAGCGACATGGTTATCAATGTCGGAGAAGAAAAGCTTCAGGCTCACAGAATAATTCTCATGACTCGGAGTCCAGTCTTGGCTTCAATGTTTAATCAGGAGATGTCCGAGAAGAAAGTTAATGAAGTTGTGATAACTGATATTTCTTCAGATACATTTGAAAAATTATTAGAGTATATTTATACGGACGAAGTATCGGATCTGGAGGAAGACGCTGCGGAATTGTTGAAAGCGGCTGACAAATATCAGCTGGCTTCACTTAAAAAGAGATGTAAAGAGTCGCTCTGCAAGTCCTTGAATCCTGAAAACGCCCTTAAGATGCTGGATTTAGCAGATCGCTTTAGTGCTCCATACCTGATGGAGTATGTCACTAAATGTATCACTGCTGATGAAGCGAAAATTGTAGAGAGCGAAGAATTCAAGGAGTATGAAAAGTCTAATCCGTCTTTGGGGCTGAGATTGTTTAAGGAACTTGCAGTTGCTAGGACTTGTTGTGAAGCTGGGATAAGATATTCGACACTTTGAAGGTACTTTTTGATTCTTTATTTATTTTTATGATTATTTTTGTTTTTAAAATAGCCAATCTTTGAAATTATTTTTCAGCTCAAGGAGAAAGAGGAAGTTAATCATTTTTGCACTAGATTATTTATTATAAAATTTAACCAAGGAAATATTTGTTTAAGTCTGTTTTATAATGTACTGTTTAAATGTTAATATTATCATTTAAATAATATTATACTTATTTTTAATTTATGAGGACAAGTTCTTATATTTAATAAAAATTATTAAGTATCAATCTTAATATAATGAATAAAAAATTATTAAAATGTTCATTTATTTATTGTAGACAAAATTTTTCATTTATTTGAAATAATTATTTAAAGTTATTTGATAAAACTTTCAATTTTTTATTATTTGATATAACTTTCAATTTTATTATAATTAAAAAAAATCAAAAAACCAACTCCAACAAATTAATAAATATAATCTGTGAACTATAAATTTTGAGATTGGTTTTTCTCAAAACATTTTATTTTTTGTATTGTAATGAAATTTCAAATGTAAAACAACTAAACCAGTATCAATAGTTGGGTCTTTAACTTTAGAATCAATTTAGTTTGTAAATAATATTTTATAATTCGATATATTTGAATTGCGCGCTACGCGCGTGTCTGAATTTTATCCAATGATGAATCATGTCTCCTTTTTTTGCAAGTTTTAACTAATGACTAACTTCGTAACGTTCTATATTTCCATTTAGACGATTAGATGTTCACTTTATACTCGACATAATAATTCTAAAATTCAGAACGTATAATTCACCGTGTTCATAATAATAAATTTAATCGGTTTTGATCAATATATCCAAGTATAAGTGATAAAAATAACACATTTCGTTGAACACAACGTTATTCTATGTATCTTAGTTAAATAATTATCGGTATAATACTCTTTCATAATAAATACAAAACGGGAAAATGGAAGGTTATACCTTTACTGAAAAAAGCTCTATCGTTTACGAGTGGACGATAAAAAATATCAGCTCCCGATTGGAGAAAAGACCTTTTGAGCCCCTAAAATCGTCGGAATTTTCGATACAATCCAAAATCGCAAATAAGTTTTGTCTAGAACTATACTGTTATATTGATACTACGGGAAATGAATATAAAGATTTTGTTGGAGTATTCATCAAAAATTTAACAAATAATTTGGTCAACGTTACTTTTTCCGTTTGTCTCTTAAACAATGAACGTGAAAAAACAATGGCAACAAGAAAAGTTGATTTATCTCTAAATAGTCAAGCCACGATAGGTGACAACAAATTTGTAGACAAAAAAGTCTTATTGGCAGATAAATTTGAATTAATTCCTGATGACACATTAACGTTACTGGCTGAGGTGACTATTTTAAATGAAGAAATAACCACAGTTCCAGTCGAAAAATCAGTTAGTTCACCGATTCAACAATTATCAAGAGATTTGCGAGTTCTTTATGATAGTAAAGAAGGCAGCGACGTCACTTTAACTATTGGAGATGTCGAAATTCACGCTCACGAATTAATCCTAAAAATACGCAGTCCAGTGCTACACGCAATGTTTACTCATAATTTCGAAGAAAAAAAAACTGGGGAAGCTTCCATCAAAGACATAACAGCTGGTACATTTAACAAACTTTTAGAATATATTTACACAGGCGAAGTTTCAGATTTGAATAGTATTGCTGAAGATTTACTAAGAGCTGCTAATAAATATGAGATATTATTATTAAAAGAGATGTGTGAGATATCTCTATGTAAAACCTTGAACCATGATAACGCCGTGAGAAGGATGGACCTAGCTGACATGCACGATGCTCCGTACTTAATAGACTATATTATTAAATGCATCATGCTTGATCCATTAAAAATTATCGAGAGTGAGGACTTCGAAAATTATGAAAAATCAAAACCGTTGTTGCGATTAAAATTATTAAAAAAAACCGTGGTTGCTGATATTGACAGAAGGACTCGAATTGAATATTCAACAATTTAAAGGTATCATTTTTTTTAATTAATCACAATACTTTTTTATTTTTTTTTTTTTTTTCAATTAATTAATACATCTATTTTTTTTTCCAGAAAAAAAAAGGAAAAATGCAGACAATTAATCAGGATATTTATTCAAAAATATTCATTATAATCTTTAACAAAATAACTAAGTATGTTTTGTATCTTCTTCTCTTAAATATTAATATTATATTACTTGAAAAAAATTTCCTTGTAATTAAGTTATGGCTGCATTTTGTAAATGATTATTTTTAGTAAATAAAATAATCAGAATCACAGAATGAAAGTTTTCGTTTTTTTTTTTTTTTTTTTTTTTCATTTCAATCGAAATAAGTACTGAAGTTAGCAGAAATTAAATAATTGCTTGAAATCATTTAACAATTTACTCATTTTTTTATATTTTTTAACTTATAAAAAGTTAATTACATTTTAATTTATTCTTAGGTAAAATTTTAATAAATTTTCCTTGTAGAAAAATTCAAAAAAATTGTAAGATGTCTTTTAACTTCAGTATTGTTTAAAATTAAGACTTATCACTTAGAATCTCTCTATTCAATGTTGGAGCAAATTTGTATATGCTTTGATTTGAACAAAAATTGAAAATATTTATTTCGTACTTTTTCTAGAAATTCATGATTTTACTTTTATGGGTAGGAAGTATTGTTTTGTTTTTACTTTGCTTAAATTAAATAATTACGCTTTATTCTAATTAATTTAATGAAAATACAGTCAGAATTTTTACTTGTACAACTATTTGGATAATTATTCATCAGTTTACTTATTGGTACAGTAATTTTAAAATAAATAACTAATTAAAAGATGAAAGAAAGTTATGCATTTACCAAAAAAAAAAAAAAACACTCGTATACGAGTTTGAAATTTACGATAGAACTTCGCTGATGGAATATAATGAAGTTCAAACTCCGGTGACTTTAACATCAACAAATTTTTCTATGAGAGCTAAAGTTGAGAACCAGGGGAATATCGACTTGTATTTAAATAATGAAATCCAATTGGTGAAGGTAAAGACAAAGATCCTTTGTCGGTATATGTTTGGAATTTGGAAGAAAATAGCGTGAAAGCTTTTGTAACAATATTCATTCTGAACAATAAGCAAGAAAAATCAAACATCTGGGAATTTGGTGAGCACTTGTTTGAAGACGGAAAATCTTGGGGTTACAATGACTTCGTGAAGAAAGAAAGACTATTGGATAAAAAGTATGAACTGATTCCAAATGATATTTTAACAGTTTGCACTGAAATCACTGTTGTTGATGAAAATATTCAGAATCCTGTTAAAGGTTCCTATCAGTATTCTAATTATCAACTCGTAGAAGATTTTAAAGAACTTTACAAGAGTAGAGCCTTCAGTGATATGGTTATCAATGTCGGAGAAGAAAAACTTCAGGCTCACAGAAATATTCTCATGACAAGGAGTCCAGTCTTAGCTTCAATGATTAATCTGGAGATGACAGCTAAGAATGTTAATGAAGTAGTGATAACTGATATATCTTTAGATACGTTTGAAAAATTATTGGAGTATATTTATACGGACGAAGAATCTGATCTGGAGAAAGACGCTGCGGAATTGTTGGAAGCGGCTGATAAATATCAGCTGGCTTCGCTTAAAAAGAGATATAAAGAGTGGCTCTGCGAGTCCTTAAATCCTGAAAACGCCCTTAAGATGCTGGATTTAGCAGATCGCTTTAGTGCTCCATACCTGATGGAGTATGTCATCAAATATATCACTGCTGATGCAGCGAAAATTGTAGAGAGCGAAGAATTTAAGGAGTATGAAAAGTCTAATCCATTTTTGGGGTTGAGATTGTTTAAAGAATTTGCAGTTGCTTTTACTTGGGATAAGATATTCGACACTTTGAAAGTACTATTAGATCCTTTATTTATTTTTATGAATATTTTTGTTTTTAAAATAGCTGATCTTTGATATTATTTTTCAGCTCAAGGAGAAAGAGAAAGTTAATAATTTTTTAACTTGATTGTTTATTATGAAATTTAACCAAGGGATTATTTATTTAAGTTAATTCTATAATGTACTGTATAAATGGTAATATCATTATTTAAATAATATCATACTTATTTTTAATTTGTGAGGACAATTTTTTTAAATTTAATGAAAATATTCAATGATCAAGTAGGTATCAATCGTAATAAAAAGAACAAAAAATTATTAAAGTGTTTATTTATTCATTTTTGACAAGATTTTTCATTTATTTCAAATAATTATTCAAAATTATTTAATAAATTAATGATTTATCTTTTAAATTTTATTTATTGTGATGTAAGGTAAAAAGCCCAGAAAAACACTTGCAATTTTGATTGAAATAATGAAATGTTCTCAAAAAAACAATTATCTTAAAATTTATAATTTTCAAATTATATTTATTAATTTATTATAGTTGATTTTTTTTACTAATTAAAATAAAATTGCAAAAGTATCAATAACTGCGTCTTTTACCTTAGAATCGATTTAGTTTGTGAATAAATTGCAATAAAGTTAACAGCCACGACCATTTTTTAATTTTTTTTTAACAAATTTGTTCCTAAGAATAATTATGAAAAAATTACATTTTTAGTTTTTTAAAATTTCCACAAGTTAATTTTTTTGCTATAATTTGTTAAAAAAATTATTGAAATTATTAAAAATCTGCTAAATTAATTTTCATTGTAAATAAACTTGAGTGATTCTAGAAATTTAAATAGCGCGCTGCGCGCGTATCTTCCTTTCAACCAATGGTGAATCGTGTCCCGTTCTTTTCAAGATTCAACTAATGGATAGCTTCACAACTTTCTGTACTTTCATTTGAACCATGTTCAATTGTAATTTGGCTTGAAATAATAATTCTAAAATTGACCACGTGTCGTATACCGTGCAGATAATTAATATTTCAATCGTTTTTTATTAATATACTTGAATATAAGTAATTAAAAAATAAAATTGTGTTTAATTTAACGTTGTTTTATAGATCTACCTTTAAATAATTATTGGTATTGTACTTGTATAAATAATAAAAATATAACTACTCAAAAATGGAAGATGGTTATACCTTTATCAAAAAAAACACACTTGTGTATGAGTGGGAAATAGATCAAGCAAGCTCGCGCATAGTATACAGAGAAAATCAACCTCTCACCACTTTAAAATCATCAACATTTTCTACACAAGCTGAAATTGCACATAAGCTGGGCCTTAAATTGTATTTCAATAGTGATAAATATAAACGTAACGATTTTTTGGAGTTATTTATAAGTAATTTAGGAAATAATTGTGTAAAAGTTGATTTTTCAATTGGCATCTTAAATAGTCAACGAAAAAGATGTTTGGTGCAAGATCTTGCATTAACTTTGATTGCGGGAAGTACTAGAGGTTTTTATGAAGGTTTCAGAAAACAATTATTATTGGCAAATAAATCGTTATTAATGCCCAATGATTTATTAACAATATGTGCTGAAGTGACGATAAAAGAAGAAACTAAAATTCCAGTTGGAAAATTATTAATTTCTCCAAAAAGTCACTTATCAACAGATTTTAGAGTTCTTTACAACAGCAGAGAATGCAGCGATGTCACGATTGTTATTGGAGATGAAAAAATAAAAGCTCACAGATTAATGCTAAAAACACGCAGTCCAGTTCTAGCAGCAATGTTTACTCACGAGTTAGATGAAAAAAAATCCAATCAAGTTTTTATAACAGACATAACAGCTGATACCTTTCAGAAGCTCTTGGAATTTATTTACACTGATGAAGTTTCAGATTTGAATGCCATCGCTGAGGATTTACTGGAAGCCGCTGATAAATACCAGATATTGTCACTTAAAGAGATGTGTGAAGTATCCCTCTGCAAATCCTTGGAACCTGAAAACGCCATTAGAAGGATGGACCTCGCTGATCGGCACAATGCTCCGTACTTGCTGGAATATGTCACTAAATGCATCATAGCTGATCCTGGGAAAATTATCGAAACTGAGGATTTTGGAAAATTCGAAAAATTCAATCCGCATTTGGGGTTGAAATTGTTCAAGAGACTCGCGGTTGCTAATATTGACAATAAGGGTGTCATTAAGTATTCAACAACTTAAAGGTATCATTTTTTTTTTAATTAATCACAATACTTTTTTCTTTTTTTCAATTAACTAATACATCTATTTTTTTTTTTTTTTTTTTTTTTTTAGATAAGGAAGAAGAAAAAATTTTAATAGTTTATCAGGATAATTATTTATTGGAAAATTATTATTATACTTATTTAAATAACAATTAAAATTATATTTTATACTTTTTTTTTATTAAGTATTAATATTAGATTGCTTGAATAAAATTTTTTTATAATTAAATTTTGCTTGTATTTTATGAATAATTATTTTTAGGAAATAAAATATTCAAAATTTCAGTACGAAACTTTTTTTATTTTGATTGTGATACTGAAGTCAGCAAAAATCTGATAATTGTTGGAATTTTTTAAGAATTTACTTATTTTTTTTAATATTTTATAACTAATTAAAAACTAATTTATTCTTAGGTAGAATTTTACTTAATTTTTCTTATAGAAAAATTCAAAAAAATTTTTTTCAAGTATGCTTTTATGGTTACAGAAATTTAAATAGCTTGCTACGCGCGCGTCTCAATTCTAACCAATGATAAATCGTATCCCGTTCTTTGCAAGAATCAACTAACCACCAACTTCACAACTTTCTATGTTTTCATCTGAAGGCTGCTCACTCTGTACTTGACATAAGAATTCTAAAATTTAGAACGTGTGTTATTTACTGTGCACATAATTATTAATTAAATCGCTTTTAATAAATAAAATTAATTAAAAAATATAATTTTGTTTAACTAAACGTTGTTAAATAATCTAACTTTTAATAATTATTATTATCGTGCTTGTTTGGAATAAAAACAATACTGAAAAATGGAAGAAGGTTATACCTATGCTAAAAAACACACAATTGTATATGAGTGGGTGATAAATAAAATCAGCTCGCGTATGGAATTCATAGAAGATCAACCTCTCACTATTTTAAAATCGTCAGTATTTTCTACACGAGCTAAAATAATAACTAAGTGGTGCCTTAAATTGTATTTCAATAATGGTACTCCAGAAAATGAATATAAAGATTTTTTGGGATTATTTATAAGTAATGTCGCAAATGATTGTGTAAAAGTTCGTTTTTCAATTTGCATCTTAGATAGTCAACAGGAAAAATGTTCGGTAAAAGATCGTGACTTTACTTTGAATGTTAAAGATACTAAAGGTTTTAATGAATTTTTGGAAAAAGAAACATTATTGGCAAATAAATCTGTATTGATACCCAATGATACATTGACAATATTGGCTGAAGTGACTGTTGTTGATGATGAAGTAAAGCTAATTCCAGTCGAAAAATCATTGATTAATCCAAAAAGTAATTTATCAAGAGATTTGAAAGTTTTTTACAACAGTAGAGAATTCAGCGATACCACTATTGTTATTGGAGATAAAAAAATTAAAGCTCACAGATTAATGCTAATAATGCGCAGTCCAGTTCTAGCAGCAATGTTTACTCACGAGCTGGATGAAAAAAAATCTAATCAAATTTTTATAACAGACATAACAGCTGATATCTTTGAGAAAGTCTTGGAGTTTATTTACACTGACGAAGTTTCGGGTTTGAATGCCATCGCTGAAGATTTGCTGGAAGCCGCTGATAAATACCAGATATTGTCACTCAAAGAGATGTGTGAAGTATCACTATGCAAAACTTTGAAGCCTGAAAACGCCATTAGAAGGATGGACCTAGCTGACCGGCACAATGCTCCGTTCTTGATAAAATACGTCACTAAATGCATCGTCACTGATTCCAAGAAAATTATCCAGACCGAGGATTTTGAGAAGTTTGAAAAATCCAATCCTTCTTTGGGATTGACATTGTTCAAGGAAAAGGTGCTTGCTGATATTTACGATGAAACTGGCTTGAGATATTCAACAATTTGAAGGTATCATTTTTTTTTTAATTAATCCCAATACTTTTTTCTTTTTTTCAATTAACTAATACAACAATTTTTTTTTCTAGATGAGCAAGAAGAAAAAATTTTGATAGTTTATAACGAGAATTTGAATTATTCCACGATTATTATTATCATTAAAATAACAATTAATCTATGTTTTGTATTTTTTTTTATTAATCATCAATATTATATTACTTGAATAATATTTTTTTATAATTAAGTTTTTCTTGTATTTTATGAATAACTATTTTCAGGAAATAAAATATTCAAAAAAATGTTATGATTTTTTTGTCTCCATATTAATTATACCTTTTAATAATTTATATATATTTAAATTAATATTATTTATTATTATTTAAAGATTGCAGCTGACGTTTAAGAATTTTTTTTTAAATTATAAAAAATAAAATAATACGAAAAATGCACTCGATGATTTTTAAAAATTCTTATGCAATTTTGAAAGATGCTGAAGTTAGCTGACGTGTTATAATTTATAGGATTTTTTTCAACAAATAAATTATTATCAATTTCACAATTTTTAAGTTTTTTTTATTACAATCATTGAATTCAAATTTACTTAACAGTTTTAAAAATTGAGCTTTTAATTTTTAGCACATAATTTTTTTAAGAATTAGTTTTTGAAACTATTCAAAAATTGGCTACCTGAACATGGCGCGCAATAAGAATTCATATGTTTTGAATTTAATTTCACGGTGTGTTTTTCATCGCTTTCATTTGTCGATCTAATATATAATTAGGAATAATAATATTAATAATAATCATAATTTTATTAAAATTTTAATTACTGGATCCATATTCTTAGCTGATAATTATTTCATTTGTTTCTATGCTTTTTAAAAAATTAATATTTTTTTATAATTCTGATTTAAAAATTGCACACGCACGAAATGAAGAAGACAAAAGACAGTCAAACAAATTACTTCAGTCAGTCTCAAATAAATATTTAAGTTACGTATCTATACTTAAATCTTTATTTATTTTTGCAAGATCTTGCTTTCTCTGTGAAATACATAAATAAAGTACTTGATTGATTTTTTAACAAAAATTGGCTTAATTTCATTGAATAAAAAAGTATCATTTATCATTTAAAATCTAAAACAATAAAATAAATATAAGTGATCGTAATTTTATTTAAGTAAACAAAATTTCAAGATGGAAGAAGGTTATACATTTGTTAAAAAAAGCAGAGTTATCTTTGAGTGGAAAATACCAGATGCAAGCTCTCTTTTAATTAAAGAAAGTTCGGAAAATGAAATATTAAAATCTTCGGATTTCACTACAGGATCTAAGCTTGAAGATTTGTGGCGGTTAGAGTTATGTTTGAATAATTTAATAATGGAAGATTTTGAAGAATATCTCGAACCAAAAAATCATTTGTCACTTTCGTTGTGCTGCTTGCATGATAACGACATCAATACAAAATATAGTTTTTCGTTTTTAACTGCTAAGAAAGAAAAAATTTCATTTTTTTCTCGATTCGTCGATGCAGAGAATGACTCTGAGGAAGACTGAAGCGTTGATGAATTTGCAGAGAAACAAATGTTACTAGACAACTCGGCCGAGTTTTTACCCAATGATACTTTGACAATTCAAGCTGAAGTTATAATTGATGATGATGCCTTGACCATTCCAGTCGAAAATTTACCTAACTCATCACAAAGTCAATTAGCTCAAGATTTAGGAAATCTTTACGGGAGCAAAGAAAATTGCGATATTACAATAATTGTTGGAAATACAAGATTTGATGCTCATAAATTAATTCTGAATGTCTGAAGTCCAGTTTTGGCTGCGGCGTTCACTCACGCATGATATGATTGAGAAGAAATCCAATGAAGTAACAATCACAGACATTGATCCTGAGATATTTGAAAAAATCCTGAGGTACATTTACACTGACCAAGTGTCAGATCTGGAGGTCGTTGCAGCTAGATTGTTGGAGGCAGCTGATAAATATCAGCTTCTTTCTTTGAAGAAACTCTGCGAAGAAGCACTAATGAGATCTTCTAATCGAGGAAATATTATTGAAATAGTGGCTTTAGCTCAAAATTTGAAAGATTACGCTATTAAATGCATCCATTGCTGATGCAACAGATGTCATGAAAACTCCTGAGTTTGGAGAACTTGAAAAAACCAGCCCGTCATTGGCGTTGGAGTTATTGCGAAAATATACCTTTTCACAGATTGATAACACGACTGTAACTTATTCAAATTAATGGTATGGGTTTTGAATGTTCATTTTGACATTTTTTTCTTATTAAGGTCAAAACCGAGTTATTGACACTGGCCGACTTATCGACACTTGCAATTTTATTTTAATTAATAAATTAACACTACTAAATTAATAAATATAATTTTTGAATTATAAATTTTAAGAAAATTGTTTTTTTTGAGAACATTTAATTTTTTTAATTAGAATAACATTGCAACTAGGCCAGTGTCAATAACTGGCTCTTTTACTCTATATTTATTTATTTGTTTTTAGGTAAAAGAGGAATCAAGAAGTTTAAATCCAGATTTTATCTTACAAGACATTTCAAGACTATTATGAATTAGAAAATAAATATTAATTGATACTCTTAATTAGAGTTTAATAAAAAAAATCACTTTAATTTGTTTATTAGTAAATTTCAAAATTAATTATGTTGAAATATAACAATATATATTTCATAATGATTAAAAAAAATATATGACAGTAGCGGGAGCTATTTTTTCAGAATTTTTAAGTAATATAAAATTTAATGATTAAAATTACTTAATACTAAATAATACTAGACTCAGCAGACATTTGAAAATTTTTTTTTTATTACAAATCAATTTTTAAAAACAATTTCAACTTGTAGTTTTTTTTATTAATTTTTTAATTAAAATTAGATGATGTTTTTTTGTAATAAATAAATTAATTAAAGATTTTTGAAAAATTTTCAAACATCTGCTACAATAATATTAATAAAAAAAATTATTTACGCTTGAAAATTTTATTATTGTTTTATGTTTTAATTTTATATAAATAATCCCAAGCGTCACACAAAAAATTATTGACTTGTTGGTAAATTTCATTAAACAAGAAGTCAAAAATTAATAATTGTCAACTTAAATTCAACAAAATATTACGAAAAAAAATTTTTGTGTCGCTTGAGATATTACTTATATTAAATTGATGTCAGTCTTGAAATCGATTTAGAAATATCGATACAGTAAAAGCTCTTAAAAGTTACCTAGGTTGTCTTTCTCGCTTTAATTGGCGTTTTACTTATGAGAAATTAAGACAGAACTAACTTTACAGAAGTAACTTTTGACAGCTTTAACTGTAGTTGAAAAAGAAACATCAATTTTTCGATGAGTCGATTCATAGGCGTCAGTTTAGTCGTTTGCACGTGTTTGGTGTTTGCATGTAAACAGTTTAAATTGAAATATTTTGATAATCTCTGTTTTATAAATTAAATCTTTGTAAGTATGAATATTATTAAAAATTATTTTTATTATAAATTTATCTTAATAAAAACTTGATTGAATTTTATTAGATAACAGTAAAAAATTAAAAAAAATGGGAGAAAGTTTTCAACAAGTCAAAAAACAAAAATTGGAAGAAGGTTATATATACTCAAAAAAAAACAGAATTGTGTATAAATGGCAAGTAAATAATATGATGCATCGTTTACATCCATCACCTAATGATATAATTTTAAATTCATCAGTATTCACGACAGGATCAAAAAGTGCAGATAAATGGGGCGTAATACTTTATTTTAATAATGGTACACGTTCCAATTACTCACCAAACGTTTTAACAATGTTCTTAAAAAATTTAAATGAACATGATGTAAAAGCTCAATATTCTTTTTTTTTCTTGGATCAAAATCAAGTAAAACACCCTATTATTCATTCTGTACAAGAATTTAAAACTTCGCAAAAATCATGGGGCACACATTTAAACAAGACAATACTCTTGACCAACCCCTATGAAATGATGCCCGATGATGTTTTAACATTATGCATTGAAGTCATTGTCACTGATGATAAAGTCACGGTTCCAAATGTTCCTTTTAACTCTTCAAAAATCCAAATAATAGAAGACTTGAAGGAGCTTTATAATAACAGAGAAAGCAGCGATGTCACCATAAACATTGAAAATAAGCAAATTAAAGCTCATAAAGTTATTCTAATGGCTAGAAGTCCCGTATTAGCTGCGATGTTTACTCACGACATGTCTGAAAAGAAGTCTAATGAAGTATTCATAACAGATATCTCTCCTGATATCTTTGAAAAATTACTTCAATATATTTACACTGATGAAGTTTCAGACCTGGATTCAATTGCTGCCGATCTGTTGAAAGCTGCTGATAAATATCAGCTGCAGTCGCTCAAAAAAATGTGCGAAGAGTCACTCTGCAAAAATTTAAAGCCAGACAATCTTATCTCGATGATGAATTTTGCTGAACGTCACAATGCTGAGAGTATGTTGAAATATGTCAATGAATGTATTGCACTTGATGCTGAAAATATTACTCAGAGTAATGAATTCAAAAAACTCGAAAAGTCGTCCATGGGATTTGGATTGTTTAGAACACTCTTGGCTTTGAATGCTAACAAAACTAATGAAATTGTTTATACTTCTTGAAGGTATATCATTTTTATTATTTTATCATTGTTAATGCTTAAATTCTTGTATTAATTATTGTTCTTTTTTATTTTTCAGGTGAATTACTATTTCAGTTGATATATCTTCAGTAAAAATGTTTAATTTGTTCAATAATTAAACTCGACTCAGATGTAGACTTCTTTAACGAAATACTTCGTTTGTCTCTAGACTTAATTGCTGACTGTAATAAATTGATCTGTCTTCGACTCTGAATCCTATACTTTATATTTGTAATTATTATTTTATAATTTTTCTCATAAACTTTTTTGTATAATGCCGATCGACGTATGGTATATTTAAATAAATACATAAATGAATAAATAGTTAATTTTTTATTTTTTTGTTTGTATAAATTTTCTAATATTTAATTCTATAGTAATGCTATTCATAGAAATCGACAGAATGTCAATAAAATAATAATCAGAATATTTAATTTAAAACTGAAATTAAAGCAAAAAATTTTTGAATTAAATAAAATTGAATTTTATTTCATAAGATTGAAATTAAAATTTTTTATTCTTCTGTTTGTATAAATTTTCTAATGATATATTTATAAGTTTTATAATAAAGCTATATTCATAAAAATTGATCGATTGTGTCAGTAAAAAAAATTATTAAGACAATAATTAACACCGAAATCAAGCTAGAAGTTTTTAAATTGAATTAAAAAAAGAATATCTGGATTATAATTTTTAATAAAAATATTAATTAATTGAAATTTAATATATATTTTCATAATGAATAAAGAAAATATGAGTAAGAAAGCAACTGACAGCTATTTTTAAATAATTAAAAATTTAATGATTAAAAGTACTTTAAATTACTAAATTCCAAATGATACTGGACTCAGCAGACATTTGAAAATTTTTTTAATTAAAATTACATGATTTTTTTTATAATAACTGAATTAATTAAAAATTTTTGAAAAATCTTCGGTCATCTGCTACAATATAATGTTTAAAAAAAAAAATTATTTACGATTGAAAATCTTATTACTATTTTATACTTTTATTAGATAATTTTTTTTTTTTTTTGTAAATAATATTAATTTTTTTCAAAATTGATGTTTGTCTTAAAATCGATATAAAAATTTCGATAGTTAAAAAAGAAACATCAATTTTTCGATTAATCGATTCATTTGTGTCGCTTTAGTTGTTTGCATGTGTTCAGTTTAAGTGGTTGGAATGTTTTTATAATCTCTGTTTTATAAATTAAATCTTTGTATGAATATTATTAAAAATTATTTTTATTATAAATTTATCTTAAAAACTTGGTTAAATTTTATTAGATAACAATAAAAAATTTAAAAAATGTCAGAAAGTTGTCAACAAGTGAAAAAACAAAAGGTGGAAAAAGGTTATACATACTCCAAAAACCACAAGATAGTATATAAATGGAAAGTGAGTGAGATGATGTCTCGTTTGGAATCTACAGGAAATACAGATCTACTTTTGACTTCATCAGAATTTACTACAGGATCAAAGTTTGCAGATAAATGGCGCGTGATACTTGATTTTAATAATGGTATATTATTCAGGCCCGAGGAAGACTCGTTAACAATCTTCTTAGAAAATTTAAATACTCAGGAAGTAAGAGCTCAAATTTATTTTTTTATCTTGGATAGAAATAAAGCAAAACACTATCTTAGTCATTCTCCAAAAGAATTAGAAATTTCGCAAATAGAATGGGGCAAATCTTTATTTGTAAATAAAGCAATACTCTTGACCAACCCCTATGAAATGATGCCCAATGATACTTTGACATTATGCACTGAAATCATTGTCGCTGGTGATGAAGTCACAGTTCCAAATATTCCTGTCAGGTCTTCAAAAATGCAAATATTAGAAGACTTGAAGGAGCTTTATAACAGCAGAGAAAGCAGCGATGTCACCATAAACATTGAAAATAAGAAAATTAAAGCTCATAAAGTTATTCTAATGGCTAGAAGTCCCGCATTAGCTGCGATGTTTACTCACGACAAGTCTGAAAAGAAGTCTAATGAAGTATTCATAACAGATATCTCTCCTGATATCTTTGAAAAATTACTTCAATATATTTACACTGATAAAGTTTCAGACCTGGATTTAATTGCTGCCGATCTGTTGAAAGCTGCTGACAAATATCAGCTGCAGTCGCTCAAAAAAATGTGCGAAGAGTCGCTTTGCAAAAATTTAAAGCCAGACAATCTTATCTCGATGATGAATTTTGCTGAACGTCACAATGCTGAGAGTATGTTGAAATATGTCACTGAATGTATTGCACTTGATGCTGAAAATATTACTCAGAGTAATGAATTCAAACAACTCGAAAAGTCGTCCATGGGATTTGGATTATTTAGAACACTCTTGGCTTTGAATGCTAACAAAACTAATGAAATTGTTTTTTCTTCTTGAAGGTATATCATTTTTATTATTTTATAATTTTTAATCCTTAAATTCTTGTATTAATTATTGTTCTTTTTTATTTTTCAGGTGGATGACTATTTTAGTTTATATATATTTTCAGTAAAAATGTTTAATTTGTTCAATAATTAAACTCGACTCAGATGTAGTAGACTTCTTCAACGAAATACTCCAATTGTTTGTCCCTAGACTTAATTGCTGACTGTAATAATTGATCTGTCTTCGACTCTGAATCCTATACTTTATATTTGTAATTATTATTTTATAATTTTTCTCGTAAACTTTTTTTTGTATATACCCGATCGGTGTATGGTGTATTTAAGTGAATAAATAGTTAATTTTTTATTTTTTTGTTTGTATAAATTTTTTAATATTGAATTTTGTAGTAATGTTATTCATAGAAGTAGACAGAATGTCAATAAAATAATAATCAGGATATTTAATTTAATTAAAATTCAAATTTTTTATTCTTCTTTTTGTAAAAATTTCCTAATGATATATTTATAAGTTTTATAATAAAGCTATTTATAAAAATTGATCGATTGAATCAGTAAAAAAAATTATTAAGTCAATAATTAAAATCGAAATCAAACAAGAAGTTTTTAAATTGAATTAAAAAAAAGAATAATTAGATTTAATTTTTTAATAAAAATATTAATTAATTGAAATTTAACAATATATGTTTTCATAATGAATAAAAAAATATGAGTATAAAAGTAGCAGACAGCTATTTTTTAAGAATTTTTAAATAATTCAAAATTTAATGAATAAAAGTACTTAATACCAAATGATACTGGACTTAACAGACATTTGAAAATTTTTTTTATTAATTTTTTAATAAAAATTACATTACTTTTTTTTTGTAATAAATAAATTAATTAAAGATTTTTAAAAAATCTTCGGACTTCTGCTACAATATTAATAAATAAAATTATTTACGATTGAAAATTTTATACTTTCATTTGATAATTTTTTTTGTGTAAATAATATTAATTTTTTGTCAAAATTGATCCCATAATAAAATTGAGATGAAAAATATGAAAATATACATTGATGAAGACATTTTATTCGTAACGTGATTGGTCAAACATATCATAAGCATGAAAATATAGATAATTCCATACCAATATTCACACGCGCGCTTGCGCGCGCAACGTATACTAGTGTTTGTCTTAAAATTGATATAAAAATATCGATAGTTAAAAAAGAAACATCAATTTTTTGATTAATCGATTTATAGGTGTCGCTTTAGTCGTTCGCATATATATTCAGATTAAGTTGGTTGGAAATACTTTTATAATCTCTTTATTATAAATTAAATATTTGTATGAATATTATTAAAAATAAATTCATCTTAAATACTTGGATAAATTTCACCGGATAGAAAAAAATTAAAAAAATGGAAAGTAATGAAGAAGTCAAAAAACCAATAGTGGAAAGAGGTTATACATACACCAAAAACCACAAGATTGTGTATAAATGGAAAGTGAATAACATGCTGTGTCGTTTAGGGTTTACAAATAATGGTAATCTAGTTTTGACTTCACCAGAATTCTCTACGGGATCAAAAATTGCAGATGAATGGCGCGTGACACTTCATTTTAATAATGGTATACGTCCCAATTATTCAGCAGACTGGATAACAATCTTCTTAGAAAATTTAAATGCTCATGATGTAAGAGCTCAATTTTCTTTTTTTCTCTTGGATAAATATCAAGTAAAACACCATACTACTTATTCTCTGAAAGATTTTAAAATTTCGCAAAAAATATGGGGCAGACATTTATTTATAAGCAAGGAAATACTCTTGACTAACTCCTATGTAATGATGCCCAATGATGTTTTAACAATATGCACTGAAATCACTGTTACTGATGATAAAGTAACGGTTCCAAATGTTCCTATTAGATCTTCAAAAATCCAAATAATAGAAGACTTGAAGGAGCTTTATAACAGCAGAGAAAGCAGCGATGTCATCATAAACATTGAAAATAAGCAAATTAAAGCTCATAAAGTTATTCTAATGGCTAGAAGTCCCGTATTAGCGGCGATGTTTACTCACGACATGTCTGAAAAGAAGTCTGATGAAGTATTCATAACAGACATCTCTTCTGATACCTTTGAAAAATTACTTCAATATATTTACACTGATGAAGTTTCAGACTTGGATTTAATTGCTGCCGAGCTGTTGGAAGCTGCTGACAAATATCAGCTGCAGTCGCTCAAAAAAATGTGCGAAGAGTCGCTCTGCAAAATTTTAAAGCCAGACAATCTTATCTCGATGATGAATTTTGCTGAGCGTTACAATGCTAGGAATTTGTTGGGATATGTCACTGAATGTATTGCAGTTGATGCTGAAAATATTGTTCAGAGAAATGAATTCAAAGAAATAGAAAAGTCGTCCATGGGATTTGAATTGTTTAAAAAACTCATGGCTTTGCATGCTAATAATGTTAATGAAATTGTTTATTCTTCTTGAAGGTATACAATTTTTATTATTTTATCATTGTTAATGCTTGAATTCTTGCATTAATTATTGTTCTTTTTTATTTTTCAGGTGAATTACTATTTTAGTTGATATGTCTTCAGTAAAAATGTTTATTTTGTTATTTAATTAATTTTTTATTTTTATACTTGTATAAATGTTCTAATGTTGAGTTTTATAACAATGCTATTCAGAAAAATAGATAAAATGTCAATAAAATAATAATCATAAGAATATTTCATTTAAAACCGGAATTAAAGCAGAAAATTTTAGAATTAAGTAAAATTGAATTTTATTTAATAAGATTGAAATTTAAATTTTTTATTGTTCTGTTTGTATTAATTTTCTAATGATACATAAAGCTATTCATAAAAATTGATTACGATTGTGTCAGTAAAAAAAAATTATTAAAACAATAATTAACACCGAAATTAAGCAAGAAGTTTTTGAATTAAAAAAAAAATAATTAATTCTTTAAAATGATTTTTTTAATTGTAAAAATTCCCCGAATTTTTTTTCAATCAAATCTCGGATTCTATTGTAGTCAACGGGAACAATGTTATCCACAGTAAAAATTAAAAAAAAAAAAAAAGATTTATTTTTCTAAAAGGTAATTTTGGTTCTTTTATAATTTTTAATGTTTAAGTTTCTAAAATAAATAGAAAAAAATATTTATTTAATTTATTGAACTTTTGAAGGCTCAAAATTTTCTTCAATAAGATTAATATAAAAATTGTCAAACATTTAATTACACCTATAAAAATAGACAAATTGTCAGTAAAATAATAATTAAAACAATATTTAACACCATCATAAATAAACAACAAGTCAAAAAACATTATCGTATCATTAATATGTATTTATGACGTCTATTTAAAAGTATAAGATGCGACAAAATAAAAATGGTGGATCATAAAAGCTCAAGGGTAGCGAAGATGAGTAATTCCTCGAGATAATCTCCAGAGTCTTCAGCACACGTGTATCTATCCACATATTTCTCTCGAGAAATCTCCATGGGCATTTTCACCTCCGATCATGGCGCCAAACACGAGATTTAGAAATAATTAATGTAAATTACACACAACCGTGCTTCTGGTTATGCAAATCAGCCTGGTGACTTTAAAGTTCGTATAGATAAACACACAGACATAAAAAGTTTGTTTGTATCGGTATCTACACTCATCGCTGTAATACGAGTTGTCATATAAGCTTCTTCAGAAAGTTCAGGAAGAAACGTTGATCTTTACGCCGTCAGTAAAATATAAACACACACCTGAGGAAAAGTGTGTATAATGTATAAATATATATAATAATAAAATATAATATAATATCAGTGTGAGTAAGAGGACAAAGCGCTCCAGGCAGCTTAACAATAAATGCATTCCGGCATTAAGTACATAATATTGTTTTCAAACACGATACTTTTCTTCATATTTATTCATACATGCTATGCCCAGTAGTCTTATTTATTACGCTTTCGTCACTATCACCACTGTCAACAGTTGCTCATTTATAATTTTTATTTTTTACAATCAAAGTTTGATTTTATACTTGGATTCGTTTTTGAATAAATTATAAATTAAAGTTTTAACATCGGCATTGTAACGCCGTTGTATTATCCATTATCTTTCATAGACCATAAATAGACAATATAACAACGTTAGTGGTTGGTATACAGCAGTGATTACAGATAATAGATTATAAAATAAAAGCCAGATATTTAATATTTATACTACTAGAAGGAAGAATATAAGTATGAGTACGAGTGTTGTTTATTGGGAAAAATATATTTTCTATCGGCGTATATTAGTGGCCGGTTGTGCATCACCGTCGTAATATAATGTTATTCTGGTGACCCCCAGAGGCACTTATTTACCACCACAGACTGACTACATAACACGTGAGCGTGCATCAAGTAAACCATCTCTGCATAGCACAACTTAAGAAGTATATATACTCTGACTGCAGCTGAATATGAAGAATATGAAGAATGGATAAGAAGAAGCTCCTTTATAGTTTGACCGAACTACGCCAGAACAGCCACCTCACTAAGCAGACGGCTCGTATAATTTATGAATTATTATTTTGTAGTATAATGTCGGGCGGCCGTACGCCCTTACTGATATATCCGTACGGCTCTCACCTTTCACTCGGTTTATTATTATTATTATTATTATTATTATTATTATTATTATTATTATTATTATTATTATTATTGTGCGGAAGAAATTAATTAATTGTTATTATATTTTTTTAAATAAAATTATATTATGGTTAATTTCATAATTATTGATAATATTTACCATTATGATAGAGTAATAATTATCATCTTATGTATTTAAAAACTCAAACTCTAATTTTTAATTATTTTTTTTAAATATTTATTTTATTTTTATTTCAAACTGTTTCTATTAAACGTTAGAGTAGAAGTACCGTTTGTGGCCAGTGTAATTTTTTTTTTTTCTAATTATTGTATAAATATTTCTATAAGCGCAATACTTTATGAATTCGATTCGTATAAATGTACTTATATTCATAAATTCTATAAAAATTCTACTTGAATAGTTAAATTTTTTACAAATTAATTAAAATATCAAGTGGCCAAAAATGGTTCTAAGATGACCAAAATCGGTACTTCTACCCTATATTATGATTTTATAATTTCTTCAGTTACTTTAAAGACTGGATTTCTTAGTTTTTGAAGATTGTTGGTATAAAAATAATGTTTTGATTGATTATTGACAAATGGCAGCCTTAATAAATTGTCAATTTTAGTCTTAAAAGTAATCTAAAAAGTTAAAAAATTATAAAATATGTTTAATAAACGAGTTTGAGATTGAAAAATTATAAAAATTTGAAAAATAAATAATTTAAAATAAGATTGGGAATTTTTAAATATACGAGATGGTAACTATTACTATCGTGATGATAACTATTGGTATCGTGAAGGTAACTATTACACAGAAAAAAAAACTTCTTGAACAAAGAAAATTTTAATGAAGAGAAAAGTTATTTTGGAGCAAGAAGAAATTTTCTTGATTCAAGAAAATTTACCCTCCAGTCAAGAATTTTGTTTTTCATTTTACTATTATCTTGATCGTAAATATTGTCAGTTATAATTATTATAACAGTTACCATAATAAAATTTCAAGATAACTATTATAAAAGAACGATAATAATTATTAATATTAAAATATTTCCGTGTATCATTATTATTATTCTTACTACTAAAAATATTAACAATAATAATAAAATCTAAAATAAATATTTTTTCTATTCTAAAGACACAGTAGTATAGTGTGTAACGCCAATGACTTGATTATGATTACAGTTCTATACTATAAAAATAGCGCTACATATTTTTCAATAAAAAAAATACCATTCCAACGAATAAACGGAAATCTATAGATCCTCAATTAAAATTTTACAGCCGGTAAATATATTAATTTTGATAAATAAGAAGTAATATATAAAAAGAAGTGTTTGATAGATTAAAAAGGTAATACATGTAACCTATTATTTTGAGCGGGTAATAATCTCACTCTTACTTTTAGAATGATCAGCTCCCGTGAATCTATGTCAATAAAATAGTATTTATAGTTTTCATCGCGTGTCTCACCGATTGAAACCAGAGTAATATACAGTCAAGTGGTATAAGTTAATAGTAAAGTAAAGCAGCAACCAGCCAACTATCGCTCACAAATAAAACACACACACTGTAAATTTATACCCACATTACAGATATATGTGTAAATATAATATAACACATATAGAGATACTAAGTCAGGAGAGCGTTCATTTCCGGGTGCTATTAAATTTATTATTGGATTAAAAAGATAATTGTAATGTGCTTAAATAAGTAGATAAGTGTATCAAGTGCAAAGCAATACCTGCAATAAATCGCCTGCTTTAAAAAATAACTATATTAAATTTTATCGACGTCTTTCGATGGATAGGAGGAGAAAAATAATATAGAGTATACCACTGCAGTATCGTCTAAATCAAATCTGTGTGTATAGTTGTAGTTAATAGTCGATAGTTAATAGTTTATTATACTAACCAGAAAGCAAGAGTTTATTATTATTTTTTATTTATTATTAATCTAGACTAGATGCGCTACATGCACCGGAAAACTTGCGGATAAAATATTGATCGTACTTTGATAAAAAAATTTAATCGATTTAAATCAATAGAAAAAATTTTTAACCAAGAAAATTATTATGTCAAGAAATTTTTCTTTCTGTTCTCAATTTTGTTTCTTTAATCGGGTTAATTTTTTTTTAAGAAGAAATTTGGTCGTAAGAATTAAAAAAAATAAATTTATTTGTTAAATTAAAATTTTTCAGTGACAATAAAGAGTCTTAAGTCTTTAGTTTAATCCCCAGCAGTTAAATAATAATTTACTTATCCCGTTTATTCGTTTTTGTCAGATTATGCAGGCATAAATTTTGTTGGAGCGTAACTATAATTTTGACAAATATGACGGAACGGTGCCTCTTATTTAACAAGATTACTCTGGGGGCATGTACATGCAAGCGGAGCATCTTTGGAGGCTGCCTGAAGGCCTTGGACCTCGACCGCGAGTGCATACATGCCACTTTGGCTAAATGTAGGGTGGCCGAGCGCAAGAAAGTGTAAGTGTTTTTTGGTCCCGCTGCCTTTACTTCGTACACACTTTTTTTACGGCAGGCTCAAAAACAGATACCTTTAAATGTAAGCCAAATCTTCAACATATTTTTTTACTACATATTATGAATTATCATTAATTAATATTCTTGAACCCGTTGACAAAAATTCCATCAAAGCGAAAAATTCCGCGCATTATCCTGGAGCTAATCAGGACAGCGTCCGCGGAATCCGAGAGCCAATAAATATTAAAAATGTAAAAAGAGGCGAAATAAAAGTGGAGAAGCTTCGCCTGACAGAGAAGCTTTTTACCATCTAAAGGCATAAGATAGTGAAAGATGAAAATCTACTCATAGTTTTGGAGGCGGGGCACGTCCCCTCGCCCAAGAGGCACAAAGCGGCCTGCGGTATAAATTGGTTTGTTTGCCGCGGAGATGAAAGGGGCCGCTAAATGCTATCTTTAAGGTGTCGGATCAACGCAAATGTGCCTGAGTTACTCGTAATTATAGAGGATAGTTCAGCATCATATCGGGGTTTCTGAGCTCGGACCGATCTTACCCGTTTTGCCTCTACCTCTACCTGCTTCGCTATATGTGTATAGGTACAGGTACCTTCACCTTCTTCTAATATAACTCTTTACTCTCTACCGGTCGTTATTAGTTATTACACTCTCTATAATATATCTGGTTCCTTAATCCTCGACGCTCTTAATATAACTATAAGAATTCACTCTTACTCTTTGCTTTACTTCAGACGTTATAAACATTAAAGTATGTCTCACTTTCAAATATATTATCATTTAAAGGAACGAATTTGCCTTTATTAGTTTTATTTTAATCGAGTTAAAAATATTCTTAGCAATTTGACCAGTTTTTTAGATAAAAAAATATTTTAATAATTATAAAAAAATTTTTTTTCTCTTACTTTAATTTATCAAAACTAGCAATGACTTGTGAAATATAAATAAATAAAATTTAGCTTTATTAAATAATTACTTTTGTTAAATTGTACTGTACTTTCTTAAATATTGACGTTTTTAAAGATATAAGCTCATCCTGATGTTACACTCATCAAGAGCTTTCATTTGAGTACC